CATCGTTCTTAGGTTGGAGGCCATCGCTCTTAGGTTGGAGACCATCGCTCTTAGGTTGGAGGCCCTCGTTGTTAGGTTGGAGGCCATCGTTCTTAGGTTGGAAGCCATTGAGGGCAAATTGTTCGTTTCATAGACAAAGCTTCAGCAATCCACGAACCCACTTGGCACATCTTCAAAGAACTTCCAAATCAACTTTACAGCACCTCCACCCGACGAACGGAATGTGCCAGAGTTCGGATGGCCTTCGCAACTTGGCCACAATGTGTAAAATTGCAAGTCTTTCAGACACTCTCTCAGGACTTTCATCAAAGTCCTCTGAAATCCTGAGGTTTCATCAGAAAGCCTACTCAGGCCTACGAGAATGCCTAGAGGAACCGGAACCCCTAAACATCACATCTGAAAGCCAAAGTACATTCGCTGAGATCGAGCCCTTAAGGCATTGATTTGTACAAGCGTGGATTCCACTCGTGCAGTGATGCGTTCAGGTGAGAATCTATTTTTCGTTGCCTCTCCATAGATCCATGCACGGCGTTCAGCCTGAAGTGTGTACAGGAGCATATTGAGAATGACACAAAGTGCTTAGCTTGGGGACCCACTGATAGTGAAAAAAAGAGAGCAGAAGATGCAAAAGCCAAAGCCATCAATGAAAGTCACCAAGCAATCAAACCAGGGTGAAGGAATGTATCCAAGCTGAAACCCGCACAAGGATTGTGTGCTTCTCACACAGAAGCTTCAGAATCGATATGTAAATGTTGATCAAGCACTTTTGGCATTCTGTGTCTCAGCCGAGTCTTGCTTTACAAAAACTGACACTCTACAAGCGCACACTGCCCTATTCAACCCTGCAGTAAGGCGCTGGCTGTCCCGCTGCCTCCCCAAAGAAATGTGACCCAAGCCTGACCGGCAGGGTGACCCAAGTCTGCAACTTGCCAAATCCTCGATTTGAACCCCTTGAAAACCTGCCTCCTTGGGTTGGGCTCGAGGTTGGCCACCCGTCAAGACTGGCCTTGTGAGAAGCTTGAAGCGAGAGTTGGATGGGTCGAAAGCAATTTTAATCTTGGTTAGTTCGAATGAAAACCCGCCCGCACCAAAGGTGCTGATGCGTTGTCTCAGCTCGCAGAAACCGCTAGAATTGCTAGATAGTTCATTAAGCTTTAGCTTTGGGGGAGGCACTATTTTTGCTCTAGAATGTTGTGCTTTTTGTGTTGTTTTGTTTTGTTTAACCGACGAAAAAAAGAATGATGTCAGCTATGCTGCCCAAGTGGTATTGCATTATTGACATCATGTGCGCTTGCTCCGGTGGTCCTACCGAAAGAAAAGCATTACGCTCAGATTTCATGGTGCCTGACAGTTGCTTGCGCTTCATCGTCTCCACCACATTTGTACGCTATATGACTCGTGAAAGCAATGCAAACAACAAGCAACCTGAATGCGTCTTTTTCTCTGCTGCGCAAGTGTTCATCTTTGTTCCAACCAGTCCACAATCGAAGAGTTTCTAGACCTTGCGCCCCTCTCCGGATAAATTTGCTCTTAGCATCTGGAAACAAAGTCAAGACATGCGTGAAAGCACTTCCTCTGCACCCTTCTGCTTCCTTCTGCTACACAATGACTTCCACTTAGCTTTGGGACACTGAGGCTTTGTCCGACTCAACTGATTGAAGAGTCCTTGCACGTATCTTGCCTGGTGCTGCGGAGTGAGGCATGCGGAGTGAGGCAGCTTTTTGCAGGTTGTACCAACCCCATGAGCTCAGAAGCCATCTCTCATGAATTAGGTCGGAGGCCATTGCTCTTAGGTTGGAACCAAATCATAAGCTTAAAACGTGTTGGCTCTTGGGCTCCGTTTGTAAGTAAAACAACACAAGAACAAGCACAGCCTCTCCCCAGTGAAGGGCCGTGTTCATGTTGGTGTTTAATGGAAATTCCTAGGGCTTCGTAAAGCACGCCACCTTGGGGGCACAACTGTTTGTTTCTGGGCTCCATTGGTGGGATTGGGGAGATGATGGTTTGCATTGCGATCAGCAATTAACACACTGTTGAAATCAATACAGGAAGGTGTCCGGTTGCAGGAGCACAGCATGCAGTTTGGTGTTACATGAACTTTGGAGATGTTGCCTCACCATACAAGATGATGCGATGCACTGGTTCAACTGCCAATGTTAACATGAGATGATGCACTGTACAAGATGAGATGTTGACACACCACTGATCTCTTTCATGATGCACCAGCATGCGACCCTGCACGAGCGTGCGACCTGCTGCTGGAAGGGGGAACGTTGGGCAACTAGACACAATTTTTGGGGAACTTTTGGGAGTTTGTTCGCGTGAAATGTGTCTATATAGACGTGTCATTTTCAGGAGTCCATGGACAAATAAAGATAAAATGGAAGAGTTACCATGTGATTGGTGCTTCGGGGAATCGTGATTCAGTCGAAGCGCAGAAGTTTTCAAGTTTTAAGGCACGATGCTATCCTAGAAAGCTCACTTAAGCTTTGTCTTTCGTTTGTGATCCTCTTGCGGTTGGTTGGTGAGTGAATCGTCCGTGGTGAGATTCTTCTGCTGAAATTACGACCCAACCGGGCGTTCTTTTGTCCCGTCGGCGTCTGTGTGCTTGTGCCCTCCTGGCCTCCGCTACAAGTGCCCCTTGTTCGGGAAGCTCTGACCCACACGACCTGAGACGACAGTGCAAGAAGCAGAGTGCTTTGGCCTCTCTAATTGCACAAAATACAAGGAGGTCAATATCGGGCAATGCTAGGGAGACAAGGACGAGCCACAAACTCCAAGCTCATCTGATACAAGTTTACAAGAATGTGTAAATCCGGGTGGCTGGCGGGTAGTCACCCAGGGGTTGTGCCTGAGAAGCTTCCAATGAAACATGATGCAAGTGTGACATGCCAAGAGTCTCGAGAAAAAAACAAGAACAATGCCACCAACATAAACGCTTACTGTATTTTGGAAACATTCTATTCTCATTAGAAGTTGTTGATGCTTGTCTCACATAGGCCAGAAACACAACGCCTGCTATTCGGAGAGCAGGCTTCCACCACCCTTCGATTCACAAGTTCCTTTTGAAAAAAGTGGGAAACACCTCTCAGAGCCAAAAAAGAATGGTGAAAATCCGTGCAAAACAAATGGTGCAAAAGCATGGCGCCAGGTTTCGATGCCTTCGAGGTAAAGCGTCTCAGCTGTCTCTGCAAGCGCTCCAGCCGAGGCAAAGCCTCGAGTGCTTGGTGGAACCTGACAAGCACCTGACTTGTGTGGTCCCCACGGTGTAAAACAGCATTTGAGCTCAAAACACTCCGCAAGAAAGGAAAGGTAGAATCCAATCTGTGAGGGTGTGATATGTTACTGAAAGATGGGCGGACCTTGTTCACTAAGGCTACCTGGAAGCTTAAATGAACTGAATCACTTAAAAGCTTCCACCAGCCGAAATACCTTGACAACTTCTTGAGGGCTCTGCCACATCACCAGCAATCAACAAACCTGCAGGCATCAAAGTGTCTCAGGATGTCTTCATATATGGTCTGGGCCTACTCAGCCCACTCTTTGCAACTCTTTGACAGGCTCACAGTTCTCGAATTGGTTTGTGGCACTCTGAGCGGATGCAAAGCTTTGCAAGCACGGGGGGTTGACTTGACACTTATGAAAAGAGCATGAGGAGTGAAAAACCTGTCGTGAAACAATTTTTTTGGAGTGCAAAGTTTGGGCATGACTTGAAATATGAAACATGCAAACTGATCAAGAGATGTCTAACAGCAGGTCAGTGCACCTACAGCCAATCTCGCAGCAGGCGATTGGAATTCCTCCGCTGGAGCTTGGAACCACGGCAAGAGCCGTCGCAGCCTCGACCCATGAGACTTGAGACCTCTCCCAACCTGAAGGAACAAGGACGCTACTAGGAACAAAGGGCATCGCTACTAATGCCAAATGAATCCAAGTTGCTCTGTCTCTGCTTTCGTCAAGAGCTTTTCAAAGGCCGAATGCTTTTCATGAGACCTGAACAAAGCACTATGGCTTGTGTTTCAAAGCAGCCAGTTTTTGTGTGAGCACAAATTCTGCTTGGATGGTTCTCTGTTCTCCACAAGCTTCATGCCCTCTTTCTATTCTCTCTGCAGCATGTCTTCCATGCATGTTTACTCAGTTACTCCGAAGCCCATCACCGACGCACGGAGGTTCAGAGACTTCGCTATGTTCAAATGTCAAACCTTCCCAGGTCTCCCGAGTTACAAGGGGTCCCACTGCCAAATCGATGTTGTCTTCTGGAAGACCATCTCCTTCGGCATGAATGGCTGGGTTGAAGAAAATCAGATAGAGCTGCAATTCACCTGGCTTCCTGGGCCCTTCAAGCTTTGGGTGTCTCACCATGATACACTTGAAACTTGGAGTTGCACCAAGCGGTGGTTTGATGCATTTCAGCATCAACATCACTTATACAGACCACTAGGCGGTGCAATGTTGCTTCGCATTGCTTCGCATTGCTTCGCATTGCTTCGCATTGCTTCGCAGTGCTTCGCAGTGCTTCGCAGTGCTTCGCAGTGCTTCG